AAACAATGGAGAACCTTAGCTTTCGTCTTTATTCAAGACATCTTCAGAGGCAACTGAATTACAAAGACTGAGAGTGAGCTTATGTACACAGGGTGACCTTTCAAAACATGAGGTCAGGTCAAAAAACATGGCATCCACTAATCCACACACCAACCACACAGAAAACATAAGAAGAGATTATAAGAACTGGCGACATAACTAATCATGTCACGTCAGGTAAAAAATATGTACAATATGTATGTTTGTTTGTTTGTATGTATGTGTATGTATGTATGTGTATGTATGTATGTATGTATGTATGTATGTATGTATGTATGTATGTATGTATGTATGTCTTCGACTCTGATTCTTCACCTCCTTCACTACCCACTCACCCGCCTTCCTCCTTTCCCCCTTCTTTCCTTCCTTCCTTCCATCCTTCACTACCAACTCATTCACCACCCTCTTTCATTGTCCATCCATCCACCTCCCTCCCTCCTTCACTACCCACTCAGAACATACCATACAAAAAACTCAGATCAGACAACAATGACCCTAAATGGATAAATAATTATTTAAAGAACATCATTGGCCAAAGGAAGGCTATAGGTAGAAGGATAAAGCGTGGCGAAATTTACCTCCAGGATTATTAAGATATTGGCAAGTTGGGTTAAAACCGAGATAAGGAAAGCCAAGAGGAATAATGAGGTAAGGATAGCAAGGGAGGCGAAGACAAACCCCAAAGGATTCTACCAAATGTATCAAACTAAAACACGAGAAAAGATTGGACCAATACGGTCAGATACCGGCGAGCCCACTGATAACGACGGAGAAATGAGCAGTAATTTGAAGAAATATTTTTCAACAGTTTTCACCACCAAAAATTTAAACATGATACCCGAGGCACCGACTCTATTCAGAGATAGTGAAGAAAACAAATTAAGCGAGATAGTAGTGACTAGTAACGATGTTAGTAAGCAAATAGACAAACTAAAGCCTAATAAGTCACCTGGTCCCGATGAGATATTTGCCAGAGTATTAAAGGAATGTAAGGAAGAGCTTAGTATGCCCTTAGCAAAGTTGTTTAACATGTCCTTAAAAACAGGTGTAGTACCAGAATCCTGGAGGATAGCGAATGTAATACCGATTTTCAAGAAGGGGGATAGATCACTATCCTCTAACTACCGCCCAATCAATCTAACATCAATAGTAGGCAAATTACTGGAAGCAATCATTTCAAACTCTATTCGAAATCACCTGGAGAAGCACCGATTGATCAATGATTCCCAGCATGGCTTCACAAGCGGACGTTCTTGTCTAACTAATCTATTAACATTCTTTTCATCAGTTATCGAATCGGTGGACAAGGGGCACAATTATGATGTGGTATATCTCGACTTTAGCAAAGCCTTCGACAGAGTCCCCCACGAAAGACTAATTAGAAAGGTAGAAGCTCATGGCATCAAAGGTAACATCCTTAAATGGATTAGGGCGTAGTTACAGGACAGGAAACAGCGAGTGAGCATTAACGGCACTAAGTCCCATTGGAGCAACGTCACAAGTGGAGTTCCCCAAGGCTCAGTACTTGGACCATTATTATTTATTATATACATAAACGACATAGATATCGGCATAGACAGCAACATAAGTAAATTTGCTGATGACACTAAAATAGGACGTGTTATTAAATCTGACGAGGACTCAGCAAAACTACAGGAAGATCTAAATAAATTTTTCGAATGGTCTGAAAAATGGCAGATGAAATTCAACGTGGACAAATGTAAAGTACTCAGTATAGGAGATGTAAACAGGGAAACCAGATACCAGATGAACAATGATGCCATAGAGAAATCTGACTGCGAGAGAGATTTAGGAGTAATGATAAGTAGGAACCTTAAGCCAAGTAAACAATGTGTTTTTGCTCGTAACAAGGCTAATAAAGTACTTGGGTTCATACAAAGGAGTGTTAGTTACAAGACTAGCGAGGTCATCCTAAAACTGTATCTTGCTCTTGTGAGACCACACCTGGATTACGCAGTTCAGTTCTGGTCACCGTATTACAGAATGGATATAGAATAATTGGAAAGAATTCAGAGGAGAATGACAAGACTAATCCCGGGCATTAGGAACCTTGAGTATAGAGACAGGTTAAAGCATCTTAATTTGCACTCCCTTGAAAGACGTAGAGCGAGGGGCGACCTGATAGAGGTGTATTAGTGGAAGTCAGGGCTAAACAAAGGGGACATTACAAAGGTACTCAAACTATCCAACCAGGAGCGAACTCATAACAATGGTTTTAAATTAGACAAATTTAGATTTAGGCGTGAAATAGGTAAACACTGGTTTGGAAACAGAGTAGTGGATGAATCGAACAAGTTACCAAATATCATCATTAACTCGAATACACTGAATAGCTTCAAACATAGGTTGGATGCTTATATGAGCAATAGGGGTTGGGTGTAAACGGGATTGCCCAGTATGGGCCAATAGGCCCGCTGCAGTTTCCTCCATTCTTATGTTCTAGTCCACCCACTTCTCTCCTTCCTTCATTACCCCTCCACCCATCTCCTTACTTCCCTCCACCCTCCCTCTCTCCTTCCTTCATTACCCATCCACCCATCTCTGTCTTTCACTGCCTTCATCTCACTCAATTGACTACATTGTCCCACTTCCCACCCCTTTTTTCATCTACCACATATTTTTCAATTACAGAGTACCCATTTTTACCCTCTTCCATATATTCCTCCCATCATCCACCTCTTCTTATTGCTTGATTATCCACCTTGTTATCAGCCATTCTCACATTCCACCTAGAACTCTTGTTACCTACTGCCCCCTCTTGGCACTCACTGCAGTCTTCAATCTCCCCCACAGGGAATTGACAAATGGTGTTATTAACTACAATTAGGAACCAACGATCATGATAGTGCTGTGTCTGAAGCATTATTCAGAGTGACTTTATGGAACATCTCATTAACCAGACTCTATGTAAGACTTTATTCATAATTAATACCATTCGTGGCTCGAAATCTAATCGTATGTTAATGACGAACTCAATTGATAAATGCTTTACTTGAATGGTTGCTGTTTGAGGTGACAATTAATGATGCTGATGGTACTAAAATGCTTGTTCGGTGTTGATAATCTGGAGTCATGGTGAGGGGCAGCAAGAGTAAGTTGGCTGTGTGTAGACAGTCCTCAACTACACTGTCATCTGACCCAGAATCCCCAACTGTGATGACCCCAAGAGTGGTGTCCTCACTGTGTAAGTCCACAAGTCATGGGTCTCCGAGGAGTACATCACCAGGGCATGTGTCACCCAGGACTGTATTTCCCATGAATACATCTTCTAGGAAAAAATCACAGAATATTTCTGCAAGTGATACATTGCCAGAGTATACATCAACAAAAAATGTATCACCAAAGTATGTATTACCAAGGCTTGAGATACCAAAAAACTTATCAGCTAGGTATACACCACAACAGCATGTCTCTTCAAGGAATGAGTTTCAAGACATTTCTCCCTGTAGTAGATATCCAAAGCATGCATCACCATGGGATGAAGTACCAAGGACAGCAATAAGCAGTCCATCACCATGGAATCTCTCACCACTGCATGTATCATCAAGGAAAACATCACCAGTGATTTTATCTCCTAATTATCCACTTCATCAGCATGTATCCCCAGGAGAATTTTTTTCTGGCGATGTATCACCCAGGCTTATATCCCCTGCTCTTGTATCACGTGTGATGAAGTCCCACTATTATGACAGGGTAACATCCACCCACACCACCATATTCTCCTGGGAAGTGAAGGTACTTAATATAATTCTTTTATAAGTGGAGACACTGGAAGCTTTACCCATTTTTCTGTGATATATACTAGTATGATTGGGAATGTATAAGTATTAGATGTATTTGTCACCTTACTTGCCTGGCCTATCAGACTGACAGACATAGTATTAATTACCGTACAGTATTTGGTTTACACAAATTTTTTATTTTTTTTTATCTTGCTATTGTATAACCAAATAAAACACTGGGGTACAGTCATCCTCTTTGTTTCTTATAGTCTAGATAGCTACAGTACATATTGCATGAGCTGTGTGGGGGTATGATACAGTGCATAGTGATTATTGTTTTATGTATCCATGTTGAAGTGAATAGGCTGGAGCATGTCTAAGGTAGATGTGATAGACAGAGCTGTCAGTTGCTTGGACTTTGTGAACTTGTGTGGCATCAGTTTAGTTATAGTCCTTGAGGTATTCAACAGTTTACCTTCACTTTGAAGTGATTGTTATTGTTGTCTACATCCTGTTTCACAATGACAGGAGTGTTTTGTGTGGTAATACGTTCTGCATTCTGCTTCTAAGGTTTTGTAGTGTTAATTGTCAGAATGGCATAATACAGTGTACATAATATATAATCTTGGGGTGTATGCTGTTTTTTTTTTTTATTAATTACACTGAATTTTTTAGCTTTGTGAACAATCACTGAAGTTTGTACTCATTTTAAGGTTTGATTAAAGTTAATCTCTTGCCATTGTAATTTGTCATAAGTGTTGAGTTGACCTTCAGCATACTGCACTCCTAATATTAATGACTAATATATAATTTATTATGGATTTGTCATTAATATTCATTTAAATTTAATTTAGGAGTTTATAATTAGCTTTTGATAGCAGTATTTACCTATACTGTACAGTATTGCATTTTTGCAGTATAAAGTTTGACTGACACGATTCCTTATCTTTGGAAGTATCAGGCAATTATATCTCTTGATAGCTTCTCCAGACTCTGCAGAAACCTCAGACAGTACTATCCTTTTAGTTCAGTCTTTTGTCTACTGTTCATGTTACTAATTTACCCATGTTCAGTATGTAATACAGTATACAATATCCAAATTTTTGTTTTGTTTCATTGGGTAAAGATTCTTTTTATTATTTCAATTATATCAGAGAATTTACTGCTTATTACATCTCAAGTGCCAAAGTTTACATCAGATGTTTCCCACATCACTAGGAATCTGCCACAAACAGCTCTCACAGTGGTCTAGATAGTGAAGAGGAGGATCTGCCTGCCCCTACACCACCTCTGTTCAATGGGCATGCCATAACAAATGGTTTGGCACACCATGCCAAAGAAGACGTCCATCAAAAGGATGAAGCATTCAGTGACAGGGAGTCATTCAGTGACCATGACGCATTTAGCAAAGAAGATTTTCACAGCTTAGTCGAGGTCTACAACAGGGAAGGCTCACCGAAGAAAGAAGTCCGTTCCCAGACTCCCTTGAGTGATGAGGAAGACTTAGCTGGTGTCAGTGTAAAACAGTTGGTGAGTTTTTACTAAATGTTATAACTTTATTTGGGTGTTATACAGAGTTTATATTGTTGAAAGTTCTAACTTGAATATATCGGTTTTCTCTCAGAGTTTCTCCTCACTTAATTTGAGAGCTATTTGGCTAACCCACATAAGTGTGGAAAATGGCCATAAAACATTGACAATGAGAATTAGACCTTGGTGCTATACTGTATTTGGCGTCTGGCACTTTTTATGTAATTTACAAATATTAATGTGTAGAAATTACAATGTGATATGGGTAAGGGGACAAAAAATGGCATGAAAAATTTATATTGTTTTACTACAAGGATTTCATGTTAGAAATAAATAAATATTATTGCATAATTATTTTGCTACATTTATGATGATGTACTGTAAGGTTTTATGTAGAGTTGACTTGATTGAATTTTAAGGAAAGCTTGCACTGTACATGGAAACGTCTTAATAAATTTTAGTGACTTGAAACTAATCTTCTTGTTACTGGCAGAGGGTGTCATATCTCAGTGCTGCACAAGAGAACGATCATCAGTCAGCAAATAAACACAAGATCACTCACAAGTCAGACATTAAGGCAGACCTCAACACAAGTGTCAATATCAGCAGCCTGGTGAGTTCCAAGTCTTTTTAGATAGTCTTTGGCTGCCTATTTTTCTATCATAAATGGCTTTCTTAAACCAACCCTTAAACTGTATTGTACTGTAATACGAACCATATAACATTATGCAAGATTCACTTCAATCAGCTTCGTTAATTACTTACTGTACAATATTAAGGGGATTTTTATTGAAAATTAAATAATTAATTTGTTACATCCTTTATACAGGGAATTTTTCTTATTTGAGAACAATAAACAATTCCTGCACAGTAGTACTATACATGTACTATATTTTAGAATGTTCAGTAAATAAGAACCTGAAAATCAGTAGGAATAAAGTCTGATCATTGCAAAAAACATTTGTCTGATCATATCATATCATTGCAAATAATACAAATTAATGTTCTTTGCAATTATCCGTTTCTTTTTTTTTTTTAGGGGTTTAGCCCACCCGGACACAAGTCACTGACCCACATCAGGGCCTTGGGGATGAAAGTATAATAATAATAATAATAATAATAATAATAATAATAATAATAATAATAATAATAATAATAATAAAAATAATAATAATAATAATAATAATAATAATAATAATAATAATAATAAAAGTTGATGAAAATATAAATTATAATAAAAATAAAAATTAAAATAAACTAATACAGTAATAGTAACCATAATAGCTGCCTACTATATACTAAAATATAGTAATTATTTAGGGCTCTCAATTAAAACAATTACCTTGTACAGTGGTCCCTCGGTTAATGAACGGTTCGATTAACGAAATTTCGGTTAACATATTAGCTCCCATAAGGATTTTCAGTTCGATTATCGAACAAAACTTTGATTGATTTATTTCAGGGGTTTAGATGCATATTTATGCACATTTTTACAATTTTTACAATTTTATATTTTATTTTTCAGTGTTAAGTGGTTGTATTTGGGGGCCTGGAACGGGTTAATCCTATAACGAACGAATGCTATAACGAACAAGGTTCTAGAACCAATTAGATTCGTTATAGAATACCCCACTGGTACAGTATACTGTACAGTACAGTACTGTGTTTCGTTTATATTTAATGTTTCGTTAGTTCTATTACCGGTATACAATATAGTACTTTGTATGAACAGTATTACTCCGCTTTACGCGTTTTTTTTTTTACGCGTTTCCACGTTTACGCGGTACCCTGCCAGACCCGGAATGCTCACTTTATGCGGTGCGTGTACTCTTTTACGCGGAGAGCGGCGCGGGCAGGGTGTGCACAAGGTCGCCCAGTCATCAAAACATTACCGAGTTCTTCACCCGCCACCCACCACAGCCGGCCCAAGTCAGTGATAGTGATAGTGAGGATATTGACTTATATGGACTTTGAGGGGTTTGACAAAGAGGCCCTGCAAGCCTCTGTGGTGGATAGTGATACAATTGATACAAGTGATACAGGTGAGGGCCAATAATCTGCCCTCTGCCTCAGAACCAACCCCCCATCCCCGTGTGCCCAGCCATCTTTTCTACTAATATAAGTGTTAAAAAACCTAATATTATTGATATTTCTCTTAATTATTAATTGTGTGTGCATACCATCATAAAATTAAGAAGTTATTTTTACTACAACGTAGGTATTGTGTCTGAAAAAGGGGAGTTTGGGGGGTTGGCCCAGTCTCTATTTCAATTAATCCCAAATGTTATGTTGTTCACTTTACGCGTTTCTCGCTTTACGCGGGCCTCCGTGGGTTCAATTGACCGCGTAAAGCGAGGGTTCACTGTATACTTTTTCTGTGAGTTGGAACCAATTACCCAATATCCCATTGAAATAATAGATTCGGTTAATGAAATTTTCAGTTAACGAATGACTCTGGAACGAATTGTGTTCGTTAACCGAGGGACCACTGTATTACACCTGAAGTTAAATCTTTGCCATTAGATGGGTAGATATAAACTTGGAACTGGCCATTTTTATTTTTTTTTATTTTCAAGCCTTACCAAACATATGATGCTTATGTAACATTGATTAGGTGTTATAAAATTTTGTTGAATCTGGATTATGAGCTTTTATTAAGGTAGTCAGTAGAACCAGCTATCTCTTCCACCTTTCCTCCCATAATGTCCTTTTATTGTCCTCCTTATTCTTATTCTAATATTCAGTATTCAACTGCTACTATCTTTGTCTGTGATATGATAAAATTTAGACCAATCCCTTGAACTGTACCACTATTAGTTTAATCCTGAAACTCTTCTTGCCACTTCAATACTGTACTTGTCAACAATAAGTGTTCCAGAATTTGGACACGAACACTTTTATCCCTGTTATCTTTTACTCTTTTTGCCTCTTTTCGTTGAAATTCATCCATTACAAACAGTTTGTGAAGGTGTCATGCATGATGGTTTACAGGTTGATACGTATTCCACACCTCAACCCCGAGCTCCTACACCCTCCAACCGCCCTGATGACCTTGCACCAGTCTCACTGCAGTCACTGGTAAGTGATAAGTTCCCTCTTGGTTTCTTATGGTAAAAGGGTATCTGTACAGTTTCTCATAATTACTGCCCCCCCCCCCCAAAAAAAAAGAAGAAAAAGAAAGAAAAAAGTTAACTGTTGAGTAAGTGGCGACCTGGGACTTGGTCGCAATTTTTGTGATGCCATATGGCAGCAGGGTCTACCGTTAGACAACACATTATGCTTCCAATATCTTCCCAGGCGGTAGTACCTCCCTGTTTGGTAGCTGCCAACTACCTACTACCCAAAATAACTTTACATATAAAATTTTATCGGATTAAGCTTAGCAGTCATGATTATATTTTCTCTGAAAGTCATGAAAATAGAAAAATAACACAGTGGATAAGATTCTCATTGCTTTATTTATTTAGATATACTGTATAAGAATTACAAAATCTGTTAAGTTCAGCATAATGCATAATTTTACTATTAATGTGCTGTACTTTAAGAGTTTGATTTAAGTATTCATTTGACTACTGTACTTTACTTGGGATGAATTGAATACTGTACAAGTTTTTAAGTAGCAAAAAAGCCTGTAATAGCCACTTAAAATGTTCATAGAAAATACGATGATAATGCTTCTGAAAATTTAAACAATGCAAGTCCTTATCATCACTACCATTCAGGATATCCTATTACGTACTGTTCTTAAGTAATACCAATCTGAATATTTTCTCATCCCTGTCAGATGCCACAGACAGTTTTATATAAGCAACTACTGTATAGTATTGTGAAAATTTTCTTTAATATCTAGCATATTAATTTATTCTCGACAACATAGCACTTTCTAAAAAATTTCACCACTCATACGATAGCAACTATTCTTTTCAACTTACTTCTGACATGACACAGCACTGTTTTACACCATAAACTGCCCAAAGTATCATTGTACTGGGTCATGCTGTAAATCTGTTTCACAGTTACTATCTTAATCTTGTCAGGGATGAGTACAACAAGGCTTAAGTGGCATTAGGTGAAGATCAAATTTTGTTGTACAAGATCCATGTTATGGCAGCACAAGTGAGATAAGATAAGTTTAGAGGGCTTGTCACTCTTGATGTTATTATCATTGTTATCATGTGAGTTTCCCACCACGCCTCTCAGTATCTCGTACACAACCACAATTCCCGTAGTTTTATTTGACAAACGCCGCTAGTAACAGGCAGTGTCACCCACCACTACTGTATGATATATACACGGTGTTTAATACATTATAACTGGAATTAGATCATCATGGTTGAAATTCTCTGAGTATAGTTTTCTACCATATAGGAACTTGTGGTTCCCTGTATACTCTGACCGTGTGATCGAGTGCTATTTTTTTTTTAAGTGAATCATTGCTGATCAAGTGAAACACAGAACTGACTAGACCTCTCATCAGCCTCCTTTGTACATGACCTGACAGTCATTATGAAGGTCTGTGTTACATGGATTATAGTTTCTATAATGTTGGGGACATACAATACCTGTACTGTACTGTATTGTAATTTTTGAGTTAGCTATTACAATTGCTACTATATAACAACTAAATATTTCGTTTTAGTAACAAACTTATTTTTCTTTGGTTCATTGTACAGTAGTAAATAATCTTATGAATGGACGTAATGGAAATATTAGAGAGAATAGAGTACTATGCTATATAATTAATAATGATAAATAGATACTGTACTATATCAGATTTTCCTCTGGATCATTTCAAACTACACTGGCGTGTGTGACTACATATTTCTGTAAAAAAATCAATATTTATAAAAATGTTAAACAACTGCCATGGGCAGTGTGCTTTCCAAACAAAAACCTATAATAGATCTCACAATCCCCACCAACTCACAACTTCACCAACTCACAACTTCACCAACTCACCAACTCCACACCCACTCACAACCTCCACACCCACTCACACCCTCTGCCCAATCACGAACTCCACCCACTTATAGCCTCCACCCACTCACAACCTCAATCCACTTACAACACACACACACACACACCTTTATACATCACAACACCCCACTACATCAACAACTCCATTGAAGTGTTCATTTCCACAGATGAGATCGTACCGCAGCTGGTGGAAAAGAGGGTTTGTTGTTGTTGTTGTTGCTCCTCCACTGATGCACAAATATTATTTTTTTAACCACACTTGAGCTTTATAACCAGGATGAAGTTGACACACTAAGACGGAGGCTTCTCCTTTAGGTCATCACCAGTCTCGTTTGGCCCTTGGCTGATTTATTATATACGTATATATTTTTTTACTGATGTATTTTGGTATAATTTTGAGCATGATGTTAGTGATTTGAGTAAACGTTACTGTTTAGTCCGCCCACGATTTTAGCAACAAGAAATTATAGTTTTCCCAAAAATCAAACTCTATAAATCTAGATAATTTAAAGGTTTTTAACACATGCAATGGATACTGTATATCTTGTCATTCTGAGTAACTTTCATTCTATACTCTTCTCTTGAAAATTAATAATAATGAGCCTAATAGAACCCGACCTAACCAACCAAAGAAACCTGCCTGACCTTACCTAACGTGGACACACTAAAGAGTAACGTCAACTGCGATTTGATCTGATTTTGTTTTTATATTTTAACGGGTAGAAATTTATACATGCATACATATATAAACACATACCGAGGTAACATACAAAGTACAGTATTGGTAACACTTAATACCGGTGTAACTCTCAGTACACAGATGCGTTGGAGCTGTCTCATTGCATTGTTTAATTTCCTCACATTTTAAATTGAAGTCTTTGGTAATTTATGTCTAGTTATAGTGTGGGGCTATATATGAATTTTAAATAATTGCCAATGCAGTATTTGTTGTGATATTTATTCTTGTTTGAATTTGGAGAATAATACATTATATTTTTACCATCTGTTTTCTCCATTTCTGGTATAGAATCAGCACCTTAGAAGATTTTTTTTTTATATACATTATGCCTATACTGTACAGATACTTCCTCCAGATAATACAGCAGGAACAAAATAAAAGCATACACACTGTTACAGACTTGTTTTGTAGTTTGAAGGACACCTGGCTGAGTTCACTGTTCTATTAACTATTATGTTAGCATGACCTCCTGTCTGTGTGTGTGCATTTACCTACGTGCGTGCCTGTGTGTGTGTGTGTGTGTGTGTGTGTGTGAATTCTGGGTTTCATTGAATAAGAAGTATAATAAATTTGCTAATATTGATTGAGACAGTTTAATTTGGTAAGGATGCATGTTGTTTAAGTGATGGTTAGTACAGTTTGTATGTTTACCTTGATAGACTGTAATGAGAACAGTTTTATTATTAGCCTTTATTTTCTTGTAAAATATGCTGTCACAATCAAAACAGAAGTCAGTTTATGAGGCGACAGCGACGGCCAGCAGTAGTGCGGGCAGCAGGTACGGCAGCAGCTGCGGCAGTTCTCCAGCTAGTAGCAGCCCTGCACCAAAGGAGGAACTAAACATCTCTCTACACCAGCTGGTTAGTACTTTACTGAATAACTGTACACAGCAGATAAGAATTAATTATCTCATTATGAACATAAGCCCTCAGTTATGGCCCTCACATATGAAAACTTAATATTATACAGGAGTTAATTAATTGCAAATTCTGTTGAATTAACAAGAATTACTGAATATGTACTGTACAGTACTTGAACATGTCATAGTCTAGAGTATTTGGAGAATGTGAGATGTCAGCACATACTGACTTGATGAATGATTGAGACACTTTATATAACTTAGAAAAAATTCTAGTTACCTTTCAGCTACAGTCAACCCTCACTTTACGCGGTTAATGTAACCCACAGGGTACCGCGGAAAGTGAGAAACGCGTAAAGTGAATAACATAACATATGGGATTAAATGAAATAGAGACCAGCTGGCCTCCAAACTCCACTTTTTCCAACACAATACCTATGTTCTAGTAAAAATAACATCTTAATTTTATGATGGTACATGCACACAATTAATACTTAAGAGAAATAGAGAAATACAGTCGCCAAGTTAATGTCCATTCAAATAATGGACTCAACTCCCTCCCCCTCTTCTCACACTACACTCGCTGGCTCTTCCCTCTCTGAGAAATTTTGGGGGGAAAACCAGGTATAGTAATAAATAATACCTCAAACTAAAGTTAGGATAATATAATTGACATTGCTGGATTCCTTGTAAGACCAGGAATATTTTGAATATAAATGTCATATATTTTGCACAAAAGATAACATATTTACTCAGAGTAAACATTATATCTAAAATTTGTATGTCTAATGCAAAATCTATGATGCTTATATTCAAAATGATCATCAAATTGTAAGAATTCCAGCAATGTAAATTATATTCTGGCCGGATAATTTGTATGAATTTTATGAGCTAAATAAAAAAATTATACTTCACCCGCGTAAAGGGGTACACCCACCGCGGAATGTGAGCATCCTGGGTTCTGGCAGGGCACCGTGTAAATGTGGAAATGCGGAATGTGGGACCGCGTAAAGTGAGGGTTGACTGTATATAAAAAATAATAATTTTCTAGAAATAAGCATAGCATTTTGGGTGTAGTCTGTCTGTGAGTGGAGGAATATGACTGCCTTGTTTTCTGGTACAGGTAGTTCTGCTATAACGCGATAATTGTGTTCTTGTAAAATATCGTGTTATAGAAAATCGCGTAATAGAAATAACAGGGCTTATGGAGAAAATAGGGTTAGGTGCAGATTACTCGAAATCGAAAAAATTTAGTAGTTAGCCTAACACAAAGGATAGCACAGTCTAAATAAATGTTACATTCATATCTAATAATGAAATCATACAGTAAATGTAACACTTTACTTGATGGGGGAGAAGGGTGATTTTGAGGTTGATAAAATCGAGCTTCTCTTCAAGTGTTATATCCTTTCTTTTACGATCATCACCGGGAATTCTATCACCAGAACGCTTCTTGTTGATATTCTTCTTTACTATATTCACAGTTAATACAGTGGGGTATGCTATAACGAACGGATCCTACTACGAATATTCCTATAACGAACGGTTTTACCTATAAAATTGAGAATGCTATAACGAACGAAACTCCTACAACGAACATTATTTAATTTTTTTTTTTCTAATTTATTGTTTTTTTATTACAAATATTAATGATATTCTTTATTTCAGGGGTTTAGATGCATATTTATGCACTTTTTTACAATTTTTACAATTTTATATTATATTTTTCAGTGTTAAGTGGTTGTATTTGGGGGCCTGGAACGGATTAATCCTATAATGAACGAATGCTATAACGAACAAGGTTCTAGAACCAATTAGATTCGTTATAGCATACCCCACTGTACCACAAAATTGGAGAAATAGTAAGCAAAAATCGCGTTATAGCAAACAAGCGTTCGCGTTATACAAATATCGTTCCTAATTCATAAATCGCGTTAGAGCAAATTCGCGTTATAAAACACGCGTTATAGCAGAACTCACTGTATATCATAAACTTTAAGATGTTATCAAACTATTGGATCTGTAACTTTAACTTGTGACCCTTAATTTTTTATAGCGTGAAGAATACTGCAGGTCAGTGCAGGACGGTCATACTCAGAGCCACACACCCACCAGAACTCCTCCAGAAACTGGTGTTTCTATCAGACAACTTGTAAGTATTACCAACTTATTCTTTGACCAACTTTATCCTGAGAACTAACTTATCAAAATTTTGTTGTACAGTATATGCATATTTGATGAAGAATTGGCAGTACTGTACAGTATTTTAAATTAATCATTTGTATGCCAGGAATTTTTAATACTCCTTGCCTATTCATTCAAACAACACGCATATAATGTTTTATATTAACCATATACAGGGGGTCCGCGGGCTACGAACTGGTTCCGTTCCTGAGGACTTTCTTAAATCGGAAATGCACATAAGTTGGAACACATGTTATGTGCATACTGTACTGTACTCACAGAGCAATGTTTAAAATCTCATTATCTCATGGCCTAAGCCCTTATATACATCTAAAATCACTTAATTTAAGAGAAAAGAAGAAATAAAATGACAAAACACAGTAAATGAGGGCAAAAAATGGGTCGTCAGGTAAATAAAACACTGTAAATTTCAAGTTTAACCCTGCTTTTATTAGCGGGCGTTCGTGAGTCGGATGTTCGTAAGTTGGAGACTCCCTGTACAATGACATGTTAATTATTTTTTGTTTTTATTTACACAGTATTAATTTTTTTGAATACGTATAGCTAATAGAAGTATACCGGTACTGTGCAGTATATGAAAATGTTAATTAAGGCATAGTATTCCTTGGTAATTACAGTTTAAATAGTGGAAAAGACATTCCTGTGATGTATAAAGAATGGGCCAAAGTAATTAGAAAATGTTATGAATTAAGATAAATTGATGTTGGGGTGTTTTTGGCCTCTTATCTGTTCCTCTCAATCTTGTGTACACAGTGTGTATTACTTCGTGATGTGATATTAACTAGAATTAGACAGAAGTAGTACACAATGAAGTTTTACAGGCGATTAATTTCTGAAAGATAGGTAGGACACAAAGTTGCAATGTCACGTGTACTGGCTATGATTTTCAAGGCATTTGATATGATGTTGCAATTGTTTATTATTTGTCTATGATTTTTTAACTTCTACATTTTGTCATCAGTGGGGGATTTGTATTTCATACATATGTCTTGTTTTACTCATTTTTTGTAGTTGTGTTTGTGTTGTTCTCTTTGGAAAAATTCCATCTTCAGTGAACTATATAGGATAAGATTGTTTGTAAGATTCTTTCATAATGAAAATATGATTCATAATACATTTTTCATTGTAATATTAAAATACAGTAATGGGTGGATCTCTTTGTGCCTTCTCTCCAAAGGCATAATTACCGTACAAATTTTAATAAAGTTATCTTTGAATTATGAAGGTTGGCTGTATATATTGTTGTCTGTGTTGTATAGTTTTTATGGAGAAAATTAAGTGAAGGAAAATTTAAAGATCGATTCACCCCTGGAATTGTGTAGGGTCTTGTAGCATCTTCAGTCGTTTAAGGAAATGCAATATCATCATCATCATCAATGATTTATGACCATTTTCCACGCTTGAGTGGGTTAGCCATGACTACCTGATTGCAGCTCTTTTTGCTGCAGTCTCTATTGTCAGGTTCTTGACTGTAATATCATTTCTTAAAACCTCTCATGTCATCCTTGGCCTTCCCCTGACTCTCCTCTATTCCACATTTAGACTCATGCCTCTGAACCCAAGTGGTTTCATCCATTTTCTCCACATGCCCAAACTATTTCAGCGTTCCTATATGAAGAACTTCGCCAATACTCTCGATACCTAACTGGCCTGAAATTTATTTACCGTATGTCATCCTCTTTAACTGTTCCTTTGTCACTGCCATATACTGTAACATCATACTTCTCACACCCACTGCATACATTATTCCTTTCACATGGAAGGGAGATCTTTTTGCTATCAATGGAGGAAGCAGCTTCTTAAAATTCATCCATCCACTTCTGACTCTTGCAACTGCACTGCCCTTAGCACCCCCACTGGCACCAATGATGTCACCCAGTTTGCAGAACTTATCAACACAATCCAGTGACATATCCCCCATTTTGAGTTTAAATCTTGCTGTGGGTACATGGTTACCTGCAATCGATCATCTACTCCACTGCACCTCTTGTGTACCCACCTTCCACACGTGTTGCAAATTATTGAGTTGTTGCCAATACCTTTTACACAGACAGCACATGGGTACCTCACCCATGCCACTAATCAATACTTTTGCGTGTGGCACATTCACTTTCAGTCCCTTTGACTATATTCCATCCTTCCATTTCTTAATTTTCTCCACTGTCTCCTCAATACTATCTGCTATTATCACTAAGTCATCAACAGAGCAGGCTGGTCCTAAAGTCCTGTAATAATGCCTCCAACACCACAATAAACAGAAGGGGGCCCTAGATAGACCCACTGATGGAGCCTAACTTTCACCTCAAATTTATCACTTTCCTCTCCATTTACTCTCACAGAGGTTTTTGTGTGTTGAAAATTTAGTGGGGATTCCAGCTTAAGAATGATAAAAACAATGTACATTATGAGATGAAAAAAAACATGATTCGTATTTGGAAATGAAGCTTCTTTGTTTTCAGGAGTAATTGACATTGGTGCAAAAGATAGGACTATATGTCTTTTCAACAAGAATCATGTGTTTTATTGGATAGCTCTTTGTATGTAGCATTAATGAAAATTTTGTAGCATTCTGTAGTGCATGCTTAATCTTTTAATGCCTTTTTATTAAGAGTTTTAGTATACCAATGAATATTAACTCACTTTCTGTGATTTTTTTTTTAATAGAATTCCAGTTGAAATTGACCTATTGTATGGTTTGTGTTTGGTCTTGTTATTTACTAATACCTGTACTATTAGTGCTTTGTGTATACATGTACTGCATAAGTGATATCTCTGTTAACCGGAACAATTGGTGAAGCACTTCCGGGATCGAGATAATTCTGGGTAACGAGACGACTTTCTCAAAGCTGGGGGAAAAAAATCCTTCATCCCTGGAACTTTCCGAGTAACAGAAAAATGTTCTTAAAAGTTCCAGAAATCACGCATTACATCATCTCTTGAACCTGGAAAAATATCCCCTATTCCTGGAATTTTCCTGGTACTGTACTACAGTAGAATATTTTCCTCAGAATTTTCGGAAAATGCGCCTGAATTTCATTTCTCAAACCCAGAAAAAACTCCCCATCCCTGTAATATTCCAGATTCTGGGAAAATTTTCTCTTAATTTTCCAGAAAATATGCCCCTCGGATAATTTTAATTCAGGCTATCGGAGGGTTCCGGTTTTGAGGGATTCCGGTTAATGGAGATATTACTGAAATAACTACTGTATGCTGTGTTAGTATACTCATTCTTTTTTCACTGGTAGGAATGACATGTTTCTCAAAGTACAGTACTGTGTAATCAAAGCAGTTGCAATGCCATTATGTCAATGACATTTCAAAGATACTGTACCGTATCTTTAATATTTATGAATGCCATATTATTTTTTTTTCAGTTTTGTATTCAAGATATTAATGAAGGAAGAATGAGTATACTCTTTATATCAAACTAACATTTTTTTTAATAGAATAACATATGACCAAAGTAGGAAATTAGGATAAAACTTGGACTTGTGTGCATACAAATAGGTATCAATTGAAGCTTTTCAAACATGACTGCCACTAACCACTAACCAACCCCTAACCCTGTGACGGACTGCATACCAGACACGGAGTATGACAGATCTACGAGGTCTAGGTCATGACAACAGCGCCATAGTTGAGGATGACCGCTCTGCCCTGGCTGCAGTCAACGTGAAAGCTTTGGTGAGTCTTTTACACCAAAGAATAGATTACAGTATTTTAAATTGCAGGGAGCAAATGTGTAGGGCTTTGTTGTAGGTATATATGTTTTGTAGACCTCAATGCAAATTGTAGACAGCACAATTATTTTATTTTAATTTATGTCCAGACAAATTTTTAAAGGAAAATGTTGAAATTTTTGAGAGTAGATGTTTGTGGTCACCTGAATCATTAGGTCTAAAATCTCAACGGTCACATCTGTTAGGTGTTAGTAATTGCATGGGAAATAAAATGGTTGTGTTGTAAGGAAAGATGAATGCATAAATTAGTATGCATTTTACTGTACTGTATTGATAAACTAAGTAAAATTAAAAAGGTATTCCATACAGGTGCACAGACTACACAGTAATGATCTAAGTTAATGCAGTGGTCCCTCGGTTAATGAATGCTTCGGTTTACGAATTACCTTCCATAAGTATCTTCAATTCGGTTAACGAACAAAAATTCGATTAACGAAATCCTTACGAAAATCACGTTTTGTTGTGAGCAACAGCTGGTCAGCTAATGGACTGGTCTGCCAATTCAGTAATCTGTTCTATGTTTACATTCGTTTCCAGTGGAGTAAATATCAAGAAAGTTGTGCTATTTAATGGCTATTTTTACCAAAAGAATAAAATTCTATAGATACCTGTACCATTTCTTATTTTTTTTAAATTATACTGTACAGTGTATTACTTTTCACAGTAGCAACTACTTTTTAAATTAATTCTTTCATTACTGATATGTGAAATGTGCACCAAAGGAATTTAAATATACAGGTATTGATGAAGTCATCACTTTTGACATGGTTACTTTATTTGTTTTGTTGTTGTTTTCACTAAAGGATAATGCACATAGACGTATAATTTGGCTACATCAGGGAAATATCTGAAGGAAGAGGACTTTCTTTAGATAAACTTTGCATAGTGTTAGCATGTGACCTCATTTGCATGTAGTTATGTGCACTTTCAAATTAATGATACCCATTCCAAAAAGATTATAGTAGATTCTAACCATACTAGTAATATTTGGTTACCGTATGTAACACTTTTAAGTAGATATTAGTTTGTCACCATTGTACTGGCCGGTGTAGTTAGTACATATGTGAGTCAAGGTTCTTTTAAATAGCATGACTAACAATTGCACAACTAACCTCATAGCAAGTGCAGAAATAACTTGAAAAGTGCTTGACAGGTGTGTTAAGGTTTTGGTCATGATGTATTGAGTACATATGAATTGTTGATGTTGATACTAACAAATTTGCTTTAGCTTAAATAACTGCTTAGTACTGATGCAAAAACTTGATATAAATGTGAAGAGTGATTATATGTACAGTACCATGGACTGTACTGTGCAGTACTGTAAATGATACTGTGCAGAAATTAAAATGTTTAGAGTAGAACTAAATTTTGAAATACAGTAAGTATAAATCAAAGCATGAATTATAACCCGCATGTGTGTGTTGTGTTGGTGAACAGACGCGCAGCTTTTCCGACCTGACTCGACTTTCCGAACCTATTGTGTCATCGCCATCCCGTGCTCTACCCCGACACGACATTCCAACATTCTCAGTCTCCGTTAAGAAATTGGTAAGTTTAGGAAATAGGTGGCACGTACTTGTTAGGAAGTTAGTATCTCCTGTTAGCCAAGGTTTTTCAGGGCTTGGGAACTGCAGTTTGGGTTATACACAATACAGCATTCGGGGTTGCATTAGAAATACTCAAGGTATGAAGGTAAAAGTTCAGCAGAAAGTTATACAGTATTAAGCCTATCCATATACAGTACAGTATTCCTCATAATAACAAACTTCCTAAAATGGGTGTAATGTACTGTGATTGTGATATAAAAAAATGAGAATTATGATGCCGAAGAAAGACAGGTTCTGTACAATTAAGAGGAAACTCCAGTAGTGCTGAAAATAACATAGGATGAAAAATAATGGAGACCAAATTTGATCTTCATTTTTATACTTAGTACTTTGTAGGTTTAAGTAGATAAAGAGAAGGCAGTGGGGAGTACCATCTGAAGCTGTGAATATGTTGAAAAGTTAAGTAAGTGTTATCATTAAGAAATAAGGAGGAAAAGCTTTAACTAGAATTGTACAGGATATTCAGGAGGAAATGAGTAAAGATAAGGATGTTGTGGTGTGAAGCAGGTCTCTAAACAAGGAGAGGATAAAGAACTGAAGGATCAAAGTGTGAAAAGAGACACAGAAGGAGGGTAGGCTGAGAAAGGATAGTACTGCAGGTTGTTAGTTAGAACATTACTGGAGGAAGCAGAGGTTGACTTTATATTATTATTTCAGAGTAGAGTTGTTGGGGTGAAGAGAAAGGTACCGAAAGATTTTTAGATATAGGAGGGGGTGGACAAGGTGAAAAAATTTAAAGGGAAATGAAGTGGGGATATGTTGAAGGGCAGTGGCAGCTCAAGGATCAAGAGGAGAGTCATGCCTGTGTATGTGCATGTAATTAATTGTTCACTGTGTAGGGTGGTGGTGGCCTGTAACCAACGTTTATTAACCAGATGCATATAATACAATAATTTTTAATTTGAATATACTGTAGTTAGCAACCATTTACTAACTCTGCTAGTCGGATTGAGTTTACAGTATTTGATTGATATTAGGAATTGTAGACACGATGATCAGTGACAAATATTAGTGGACAAATTTGGGAATGTAATAGTGAATATCCTGAAGATTGTGCAGTGACCATTGTAAGAACCTTCTGTAGTACTACCCTGGGTTATGGGTAAAGATTGAATATGAGCTGCAGCAGAAGTTATTACTTTGACTGAATTAAATGCAAACATAGGTACTATAACTATAACTTGATTTGACATCTAATTATTTTATTTTAGTGATTTGACTTCAAACAAACTAAACTCTAACCTCATTAACCTGTAATATACATCGTCATGACTTATGGGGACTGGTATTAGTATTAGCTTTGAACTGATTTAACCTACTAACAGAGGGCAAGTTACGGTGACCTGCCCAGCCTCCTGTCCAGCACAGAGTCAGGTAAACCTGCAGGTGTCTCCCCACGCTCACAGTCACACTCGCACACCATGGTGAGTGTTACATCCATGGTCCTGTTATTGACACTTGTTGGGTTACCTATAGGACATATAATAACAAACAATCTTTGTTCTTTCGATTGTTTTCAAGTTTGCTGTGGTTGCCTTTAGCAGTCTGGTGTTCTTTTTAAGCAGGGTAAAGTGTTTTAGTGTTTTGTATGAACTTGCTGGGATGGTCCTTTAGTATCTTTTGCATTGTCTTTTGATGGTCTTATCTGCACAGTACTCATAAGCTTTCCAATGTCCTCTGATCTCTCAGGGTCAGTCAGTCAGCTTTTTTTTCACCATGGCCTAGTTTAGTTCTTTGTTCCCTCTGGTTGCTGTGGATTATCTTGAGTTATTTTATTGATCTTGGGATGGTGTCAAAAGTTGCCAAGTTGCTTTATTAATGGTTCTGTTTTATGTTGATACCAAAATGCCTTTAGCATGAAAGTGTCTTCTCACTTCCTTGGATCTTATCCTTTTACTTGTGTTCACTACAGACTATCTTGGGTGCCTTGTATTTGCTTCCAGATTGTCTTAGGAGCTCTAGCTCCTTGTCGTCATCTTCTGTGAGTTTTATGATGTATTGTGAAGCAATATCTAGTTCACTGGTGATAGAATGCAATACTGAAGGTTTATGGCTTTTTGCAGACTGCCTGACAAGGTCTAGATACATTCTCTGTTACAGCCTGGGATGGCAAAGATATTTTTCTGGTACAGTACAGTACATGATTTAGATGTACTACTTGATATGTTCCACTTGCACACTTTTTGATACCCAATACTGTACCCTATAAATATTCCTTGATTTAATTATGGTAAACTGCTGGAGGTTCCATACTGATAGATGGAATCAGTAATGTGATAAAATTCATTTGTAAAAATTAGGCCCTTATAGTACAGGTACCATTAGGTACAGTAGTACTGTTAGCCATAGCAGTATGAATAGGGATTTTTTTACCTTTACAAGATAATACTGTATATAGACTCCAGGAGCAATATTATTTTTTCAACTTATCCTTCCCTCCTTTATTGCATGCATCCAGTGCACTTCCAAGATTCCCCGTCTTGAACAACCTTCCCCCACCTTACCTTCTGGTGGATGTCTAGCATCACATGGTATTCACCGAACATTCTCCCTCTCGTGCCTCAGCAATAAGAATTTAAAATCCACCTTAGTACCCACAAAAGCAAGTGAGGTACACAGTGCTCACAGTCGAGCTCATGCAGCACTCAGTAGTAACAAGTCAAATTCTAATACATACAGTGGCATTGTTGATGGCCATATTACATCAAAAAAATTGAATAAAAAGCCTGGACGCAAGCACAAGTCGTTAAGTCGTGACAAGAATAAAATTGCGACTGTCAGTTCAAAGAAAGCTGCCACTCATCCCAAGACTGCTGATATCAGTTACAGCACCCAAGAGTCAAGGGAGTATTTAGGCCGTGGTATCCAGCAGCGTCCTTGGTTGTCAGCTCAGGACTTAACCAAAACCCACACTTCAACCAAAGTTAATGAATCTGTCAGCTCTTCTACCCTCTCTCTGGGTACTCAAGTCACTTGTGACCGAGTGCCTGAACCAAGGGAACTGAAGGTTAGTGGGTGGGCAGTGGATTCTTCAAGAGTACGTGAGAGTACCTTGTAGTGGAGGGAGAGTAACACCTTGTTTATACCTTGTAGTGGAGGGAGAGTAACACCTTGTATTGGTAATGGAGGGAGAGTAACACCTTGTACTGGTAGTGGAGGGAGAGTAACACCTTGTATTGGTAATGGAGGGAGAGTAACACCTTGTACTGGTAGTGGAGGGAGAGTAACACCTTGTACTGGTAGTGGAGGGAGAGTAACACCTTGTACTGGTAGGAGGGAGAGTAACACCTTGTACTGGTAGTGGAGGGAGAGTAATACCTTGTACTGGTAGTGGAGGGAGAGTAACACCTTGTACTGGTAGTGGAGGGAGAGTAACACCTTGTACTGGTAGTGGAGGGAGAGTAACACCTTGTACTGGTAGTGGAGGGAGAGTAACACCTTGTACTGGTAGTGGAGGGAGAGTAACACCTTGTACTGGTAGTGGAGGGTGAGTAACACCTTGTAGTGGTAATAATTATTAAAGCTTCTTTATTGTTTGGTAATAGTCATTGGGCGGGACTGAGGGCGATGCTCAGACAATGGTGTAATTTGTGTGGTAACCGTTTATTTCATTATATTTACACAATTTACCACGCCTATGTATGCAACGTAATTTATTTAACAGTTGTTGTTTACTCTTATTACATAGTGCACACGTAAACACAGCCTATTACAAGTGTCAACATTTGTGTATCTACGCAGAACATTGGTGGTGAATAAGTATACAGTAAATAACTTTTGACCCACCCTCGCAAAATACTTTCTTTTGTTGGAGCGTGACCAGTTAGCCGCTTGTGGAGACAGACGGGTCAATTACGAGGTATTAAAACTATTGGAATTTGCGCGGGTGGGGATTATCAACTTGGCGAGAATTGATCGTTTTCGCCCGCTTACTAACGAGAATTAAAACATTTTGTATTAGGGGCTCTCTTGTGCTGGATGATCCAGATGACTGCGTTTTCTTAATGATCAAAAGTCGGCGAAGGCTGAAGAGGAAAATTACGAAAAACGAATGTTAAACAAAGATATTGATGATAAAACGAACATTGATGGAAGACTGATGATACCACAGGAAAGATGAAAGGCAGACAATGATAGTATACAATAGTTAAAACTGAACTAAGACAAGGAGAATAGAGAAAGGTATAAGGAGTAAATATTTTTTGGGTGTAGTGTGAGGGCTTATACCGGTGGAACTGGGTTGTCAGGAGTGACGCAAGAACAGTATGAAGTCACAGTCGTGGGTTATTTCTATTAGTTCGCTAATCCGTGGTGGAGTCGCATCGCCCCCCAGCACCTGACACTCGCATACCTGCTTCACGCGCCTACCCCAGCTAGTGTTGTAGGGGGTGGTTAGAGTGTACATCACACCCATTTCATCATTGCCTTACCACATTGCACTACTGTTACACCACATCTTACCGTACCACAACCCTGTCACACCCACCTCCCCCACACCTCGGCCACCGCTGCACAACTGAAACTCGCGTCGGTGCGTGTGTGCGTCTGTGGGCGCTAGACGTGTGAACTGCGCCGGTGTGTGTGAGGTGGGTGGCGTGTGGACCCCCCGCACCACCGGGACCGCACTCTGCCTTGCCTTAACCCTGCCCACTGCTCCCTCGTCTCCTCTGGCCATTCTACCGCCGTCTACTCCGTCGTCACCTGCGCTGGTGTGGTGGTGGTTTTGTTGCCGGCTGTGACCGGCTGAGCGCTGCCACGACCACGCTGCCTCTCCTGTTGGTGTTGCCGCTGCTGTTGGTGCTACTGGTGCTGTTGCTGGTGACTGCCTGCTCTTTGGTGCCTGCCCATCGTCACGTCGCCACCTGGGTTAGGTTTTCTCTGCCCCGCTGTCCCTGCCCCGGCGTCCGCGTGGGCGTTGGCTGACACCACGGGCTGAGGGGTGCCGCCCTCAGTATGGTGGACCTCGGGGGGCGCCGCTCCAAGCCCCCCGCACCCAACAGCAGCAGCAACAACAATGTGGCAACAACAACGCCACGAACTAATGTTTACACCGGAGTCTCCGTCAAACACCTGGTAATGTTGCCCTAAGATGACCCCGGAGATTTACGCTGCCTCTTGAGAAACTCCGGAGACCAGTTGTCCACAGAGAACCCCGAAAATTGCGTTATATTTTGAAAACCCCAGAAACAAGTGTTGCCCCACTTGTGTTGTGAATGTTTCCCGAACTCGTGTATTTCTAGATATAGTGTTTCCCCAAGGTGCTCCATTGGCGTGTTGTCCCCATACTGTTATTCACCCTTGACACTGTAGTGCTGTTTTGCCCCAACATTCTGTGGTATATTTTGGTGCCATCATTACTGTAGTGTTGTGTTGCCTTAGATACTGTGGCGTTGTCTTACCCCGAGATAGTGTAGTGGTGTTTGTCAGTGATGAACCTATTCTAGTATTAAATGTAGGTAGTGTAACCTTTAAGAGTACTCGACTACTTGTTATTTTAAGACAGCGACTGAACTGTTTTGAGACACCTATGGAAAAAATGTTAATTTTATTAATACTAATAATGATAAGTAGAAAGTAGCCTTTGTGCCTGTAGCGATACTAGCATCGGAAATATTAATTTATGAATAATTAATGTGTTATTTCCATTCATTATGCTGCTTGTGTTGGATTAACTCATCGACCTTGTCAACCCCGTCTGACCTTTGAACCTGACCTGGTGTGACCCGGTATGGTCATGGTTTATGGTCGTGACGCTCTGCTGGGTGTGTGGGTGTAGCGTCGCAGCTACGTTGACCAAGCCCGACTATGTGAACCTCCAGGCGTGGCGGCGACGACTAAAGGCGGTGGTGGAGGTGGCCGCGACCGGTACATCACCAAGGCCAACGTCGCGCGCCTTGTAAGTTGCCAACCCGCTACCCTACCACTCCTCGGGTACCCACACCTCGTACAGCACACCCACTGGCTGCCACACTCGCTTTATACGACACCTCCGCCCCTGAGAACATATAGGTTGTTATACGGTACTAGCTACCACAACTTAACTCCAGCACTTCAACCACTTACAACAACGCCACAACCTTTTGCATTTCAACCACATTAAATTTCGAACATTTCTCCTCCACCATTGATATTTGTGAAACATAATAAAAACGAACTCTATTTCCTTAACACTGATGGGGTTCATAAAACTTAACAAAAAAGCTGAACAGTATTGATCCAATGTCATTCTCTTCATAAACCTGAAGACTCCAACAAAAGTTGATCCACCACTGATGATAAGTAAAGCACGACAATTCAAACAACAGCATTAATGGTGTTCTTGAACTATTATTATAAATTCGAACACTCTTGGTTCACTTTGGACGTTGTTTATTAAAGATCACTGCGTTTTATTAGTCATGTTTATGAGTTATACGTCCGTCCTGTCACAGAAAATGTACTGCTTTGATTTTGTTTCAATTGATTTGGGATTCTGAAGTGTGAGGGAAATAATTCTTAATTCAAATTCTTTTTCATAATGAATCAATTTTGACAGCATTTTGTTTGATACTACGAATAAAAGAATTCGTCAGGAAATGTGAAAACAAATATTTAAATAAAATCTTGAAGTATCACATCACGAATGAAGAAATGTTTTTTATTTAATATTTTTGTGTGATTCTCATACGATACAAATTAGAAGAAAATGTCTTGATTTAATTATAAGCTTGTGAGATGTAGTAGTGCATTTACACAGTCATTAACGATCGTGAGGATAATAATTACCGTAATAACTTGTTATTAAGGAAAATACGCCAGGAGATTAGCGTCGTAGGTGACGGAATTATCCAGGTATCCCGGTGTAATATTTTGTTGTTTGTATGTTAAGAATCGGTAAATAATGAGTGATTTTTTCGGGGGGCAGCGTAAGTTGTGTTGTTAATCTACCAGTGAGGAGGACAATTGGTATTAAATCTTAAATAAAGCTTAATACCAAGCTACGACACCTGAGCCATGACGTCATCCACACACTTTGCTGGTAATTAAACACATACCTGGCGGGTAATTACACACCTGGACCCCGTTATAACAGATTCGTATTTTGTTTCTTCCACTGGTCTGCGTTTCTTTATATATTTGATCCTAAGTGTTATAATCCTCGCGTATTGTATCCCGAGAGTTGTACATTATTACCTGGCATTCTTGGCCCCGTTAGCTTCAGCCAAACCAGGAATTGCATTGTTTACATATCTCGACCCAGATACGTTGCCATGACCCCATCATTACGCTGGAGACGCACCACCTTAACACTACATGCACCACGCATCTGCATGATTTGTACACACGCTATATAGTAACTGTGATGTGTAGTTCTGTACTTCACCCGAGATGTTAGTTTTATGTATCACAGCTGTTAATTACCATCAAGTACGGTAATTAATTAGTTGTATTTATGCCAATAAAACTATTTAATGTTATGCACAGCTGTTAACTACCGCTAAATATTGTAATTTAGAAGTTATTATGCCCAGTAGTTAGCTCATTTAATAACTGTAGTAAATAGTTAAAGAATGACTTCTTTGGGCATATTCGATATTCAGCCTGCCAGTTACAGTAGTTAAGTGTACAGTAGAGGGCTGAGTGAGTAATTACGTTAGGCATAATGATGTAACCGGTAGTTAAAACGCAAATTAGTCGAACGTGGGATAGTTACGCTTAATGAGGTAGTTAGAATGCAAATTGTTAAGGTTAAAGTGGTGGTTCTCAGATTGTTGTTTAGCCCAGTAGAAGTTATTGATATACCTCTTCGGTTAGGGAGAATTTATAATTTACCTGAGTTAAAGCTAAATGTGCATGGTGATGATATGATTAGTGTCGAGATAATTTAGTGAATCATTGTGTCGATAAAAAATGTCACTGTCTTAAAGGTCTTGCTTGATGATATATGTGATTCAATGTATTGTTGAAAATATAGGAGTTGGTGGTTATTAAACGTCCGTCTCTGGGGGTGTTCAGTATTGCGTGTTGTTGTGTTGGTCGTATTATATGAACAGCAAAATTTTGGAACTTTAGATCGTGGACAGTGTATAAGTAACTTTTATTTATTTCTAAGTTTCACTAAATAAAAAAAAACTTTTAAGTTCAAGGAAAACTGCAGTGAAAATTAAAACTTTAGTGTTAAGATTTTTTGTCAGTATTCAACAGGAGTCGCTATTCTTGACAATTAGAGAAAATTGAGCTCGGGATGTTTACTTGTTGTTGGCGTCATGAGGAAGCAACATGTGAGCTTCCGAGGAAAGGTTTTACGGTGTTCCAATTATGTTTCCAACAGATTTCCATACATATTGGTTTTGTTTAATAAGAATTGTAATAAATAGCAAAATTGAACTCCCTAAAGTATGACGTTAATAACCTAAGTTCTATGAGTATTTTGTTGACTGGGCCGTATCAGGAGTTCAAAATGAACACGAAACTGATTTTCAGGACCATTGTAACGCTTAAACGACATATTTACATACGAATACAGTACCCAAGTTCCAAAAACCTTTTAGTGTGAACTTTGAACTCCTAGTATGACCCCCCCCCCAAAAAGGTTTTATTGTTGAATTGTGTTATCTTTTGTTACCTACTAAATGTTACTGTAGTGAGGTGTCATGTGTAGAGGAGAGAGTGTGTCATGTTGTTTTAGCGGATCTTGTTGTTGTAGTGCGCGACGTTCGTGGGCCCAGTGCCCCGGCCCCCTGAGGCACCCATTCAACGCAACATCAACACTGGTGTGTCCGTGGCGCACATGGTGAGTACTTCTCTTTTCTCGCTCATCCACAACTACATCCACGCACACCGTTATGTGTTGTGTGAGGACTAACGCCTCCTCACTCACTCACGCCAACGCACACGGTTATACGTAGTGTGAGGGCTAACCCTCACTCACCCACGGTTATATTTAGTATGAGGATTAATCATCACTCACCCATGCTCACACACTTGGTTATAATTATGTAGTGTGAGGACTGACCCTCACCCACCCCACACACCGTCTTACTGTATATGTAGTGAGGATCGGTCCTTCCTCACTGGCTACACCCACACTCAAGCACCACGTTGTGTGTGGTGTAAAGACTGACACATCCTCATCTGCCAACAGCCACGCACCTACTAGATCACTGCCTATATTCAGTGTACATTAATGGTACACGTAGTTTTGCGTAGCTGATAATTATTTTTTGCGTAGTGAAGACGTAGTTGACATCTAGTTTGCACGTAGTCCGCGGAAATATATTTTTTTGCTTTGAATCTACCTATCGACCCCTTGAATAAATGGACAAAAATAAAGAGATAACTGATGATTTAATGAAACTCAGCAGGGAATGAATGGTTGGTTGGGACCGGCCAGTACAAGGAAATTATATACAATTGTCAGCTTAACAGGAACTGGTGTATTATGTTTAGGTTTAGCCGACATGAAGAAAATTAAATGCACATTTCTTGGGGTAAGGAACAGGGAGAGTAGCGGAACAGAACATAAGACCAGTTAGGTAATTACAGGTAAGAGGGAGGGACCAGTACCGGAGGGAGACCTAATGTGGCATGACCCATTTAAAGAGTGGAATGAGTCAGCCCTGGTGGAGTTTGGTGAAGAGTTCGCCTCTAGTGGTGAGTCACGGTACAAACTAAAATTAGAATTGTGGCATATTTTCTGTTCTGTAATGAAATTAGTTATATTCAGAGTCAGGAAATTTAGTGTAGCACTGCAGAAAATTGGACACTTGGGAAGAGGGAGAAGGGAGGAACCATCGTTTGGCGGGGCAGGACGAGGGGCTGCGTATTTTTAAAAGCTCAGCAGTGTTTTGTGTAGGAGCTGCACGCCACAACCCATGAAAGGATAACCTGCACAGCACTTCTCATCAAACAGTCTCTACAGTATGTTGACCCGTGTAACAGCACTGTGTATGATGGAATGTGTGGGTAGACTTGTGACAAATTACTTTATAAATTTGGAAAGGCTTTGGAAACCCCTGTCTGTTTTTGAACTGATCTTTCATAGCTTATCTTTTATTTAGCATTTTTGGTTGCATTTATAAATGCTTTACAAGATCGCTTGTGTAGATATCATAAGGATCTCTTAAGAAGATCTGGGGAATACTCGGCCGATGCACGTACAGTATTAGGTTGTAAACACAGCTCTAGTATGGTTTTGCACAGGAAACCACAGTTGACTAGCATCAAGATTCATTTGTTAATACGTACTGTACTCATGATAATCTGTCACGTTAATGTTATTAGCGTTAAGGATTAAAACTAGAAAAAAAATAATGCAGAAGTAAATTTACTAATGTTGTTTTATGTCATTATAATTGATATAATTTTACTGGGGTTTGTGTCAGTGACGGACATCACGTTCACTCTGACATTATTACGTTAAACTTAATTACTAGTTTGTTTTTTACTTAGTTTATGCTGGTGTTATTAAGGCTGTGTAAAAAGCTAATGTGTACAAGTATTTCCAGGACGTCAGGTAGAGTTCATGGTGGATTATCACATTATTTTGTTATATGAATGAACACGAAACATCACACACAAGTGATTACCTTTTTTTACGCTACCATTGCAGTCGAACTATAGGTAGTGTTGAATATTGTCAGCGGTAATGTAAATATAGTATATAATATAGTTTTTTAAAGGAATGCGCTTTGTAAATACTGTATAGGTATATAAAATATGTAACATGCTACTGTCTAATCTTTATTTTGTTTTTTTATTCCAGCAGGTAAAACGCCATCTTTCATTCCTGTTTTACTATAACAATTGGTTTTCTTGAATTGATTTCTGGTTTAGTAAGCTAGACTTAAGGTGAACATTAGTTTAAGGAGCACAGAGCCACTCCAAGAGTCAGCCTCCAGGAGACGCGCTCACCGCCACATAAACACGTAAACAAACAGTCTGGTTTATCGTGAATACAAACATAAACTGTTGGCAAAAGCAGCAATATTATTATTTATTTTTTTTCATTTCTGTTCAACAATTTCCATGAATAGATAACTCCTGCGAAAACTAGATCATCCAGGAAGTCACTAGTCACTGAAATATTCGTATAAATCGTCGCTGTTTTGTTTTGCTAAATCAGAATGACCTGTGACTCCATCGGTCAGCGTTCATGTACAGTACTTAAAAAAACCCACAAATCAATATGTGTATTATTCACGACTTTAATACTTTCTAAGAGTTCGTCTCCTGGAGTTTGTCTGTAGTTTAAGTTAGATTAAGTTTAGTTTTAAGGCCCATTTTGTAGTCTTATTTATAACATCATCCATTGAGTGCTTTAGATGCATTATGCCTGTGCTTGAAGGTTCATTAAGTGGAATAATTCTTTTTCGTCCTTTTTATGAATCTTTTCCTTTTCTTTTATTTAAGGAAAAATGTCACTTTCTACCCTCATGTTCTTTATTTACTTAGAGTTCACTATTACAACTTTTCCTCAGCAAGAAGTTACCATTAAAGATGTATTTAATTGGATTGTAATTTCAAGTCAACACCCTTTGTCTTTCTGCATTTTGTACAGTGACAATATTTCTCGATATTTTTATCAATAAGTGTATCCCATTCTCTGTATCTTACATTTTTTCTTATTACTGTAGCAGGTCTGACGTAGAATATTTCTTAGTTTCTTATTTGACTGATAATGTTTTTGTTTGCTTTTTATGAACTAACCCGACAACATTTTCTATGGTTGTGTTGATTGGTAACTCCTCCCATTGTCTCTGACGGAAGTATCCCCGTTTTCTAGAGTTGACATTATCTTCTGTTTTGATTAAGTATCTGTTGATTTCCCTTGATAGGATATGTATATTGCCTTACGTTATAACAGACTGCATTTCCCCATCTTCTGTTAACGGACTGTTGCATATTCTACCTGACTGACTTACCTTATCTGCACTGATTGACCAAGTTTGACTGAATTACGTACTGTACAGTATATTCTACACTGACTGACTATGTATATATGTGTGTGTGTGTGTGTGTGTGTTGACTCTCCCTGACATTGTCCATCTCCTCACGATGTAGAAGGCGGCTTACCAATACCGCGACGACCTGCTCGAGAAGCATGTGGGGCCCCGCGTCCGCTCCTTCGATGCCGCCAAAATGAAGAGCAAGTTCGAAAAGCCTCAGGTAACTGCACACCAGCCAGCCAGCCACGGCGGTGATGCTACGACGAGTTAACACAAATAATTACCTTAGTTTGTCTCCGTTTTAACATGCTTTTTGGTTTTACTTTTTAACGTTAATTGTAGGTATTTATTTTATCCGTCATTAACACGCTTGTTTACAATTGTACAAATATTTTGTTTTATTAACATTTTTTATTCGAGTTTTTAATAGTTTTAACCCATGATTGTGTTTGGATTAACCTAACATGATGCTAGATTAGCTTATAAACGATGAGTGACCTAATAACATCTATTTCGATACTGATATGTAAATTTTGTGTTGTTCTTAACCTGCTTTGGTGACGTCCTAACAGCTGTAATATATGATTTAAAATATTGTAGTAATTGGTCGTTAGTTAACTTGTAATAACCTTCAAAAGATCTCACGGCGTCTCCTGAGATAACCAGAAACCTGAATGACACGTAAAAATAAAACATAATTTTCTGAGAACACACAACACTGCCTGACAACTTTCAGTGGTATTACTGGATAAGAGTTTTACTTGTGCAGTTGATCGCGACATCAGGAGTATGATAGAGCAATTGGATATTGACCTTGTGTCAACCCCCTGACACCTGATCCCCTGACACTAGCTTTGTGTCATTGACACTGCTTTGTGTCAACCCCCTGACACTAGCTTTGTGTCATCCCCCTGACACTAGCTTTGTGTCATCCCCCTGACACTAGCTTTGTGTCATCCCCCTGACACTAGCTTTGTGTCATCCCCCTGACACTAGCTTTGTGTCATCCCCCTGACACTAGCTTTGTGTCATCCCCCTGACACCGCCCTTGTGTCATCCCCTGGCCTTGTGTCATCCCCCTGACACTGCCCTTGTTTTATCTGACACTAGACTAGTGTCATCCTGTAGCAGCCATAGTTTGACACACTGCCACAACCTTCATGTATAACACTGGCCATATAACATGATTGGTTATAGTTTTGATTAACAGGAACACGATGACTTTGTTTTACTGGTAGTTTGTTCAGACCGCACAACACTGGCTACATAATGTAAACTCTTAAGCTACCACTGTGTTACAAAACTATCAAGAGGTGTGTAGTGGAAACTATCATATCAGCTGTAATAAAAGTGTAGGGAGACACTGTCGTCAAGGTCAACAGCAGCAGCCAGGGGTTAGTGGAGCTTAATGTTAATTACAGATGTTGACTATCGACCAAGTGGGCGCGCTCCACTACACATTGGGGAACCTTTACACGTGATTAACACTCGTGTTGCCTGTTTGAGGAGTAAGTCTTGTAAAACACTGGCACTAATAGCGCATAGAACTACATTACCACCCAACACGGGTACAGTAATTAGATGTACCGTACGGTATTTCGTCAGTTAGTGTTTTATTTAGAAATGAAGATAATTATGTTAGATTATGTCTAATGACGTTCTTTATATAGTGACTTGAAGAAATATAACGAAACTAAGCTGTTTCTGATTTTAAAGTAAATACAATTTTCCTTGACTTTACGCAGAACATTTTTAATTTAAGTGTATGAGTCACTGATTTAATATTTATTAGTTTTCGTTTATAGTTTATGTATCTTTCGTTACCCACGTCTTGTCAGAAATTGTTTTTACATAAGCTAAATGATGTGGTGTCTCCTCACTCATCCCTCCACCCCACCCAAGGACCGCCCTAAGTATCCTACTGCAGACTGACCCAGGTTACTCAGACTCGCCCAGGGATGACCCGAGTCACGCCAGATGCTAGGCTGATAACATGGAGTTGTCTTAAGTCTGTTCAGAGGCTCTGAAACCTGGATAAAGTTTCAGCGAGGGTCACTACGACGGCTTCCCTGCAGGTGTGTGGGTGATGAGTGAGGCTCACCTCACTGTTTTGTGTGGATGGGTGTGTTTGATCATTCTTTTGTGTGTGCATATACTGTAGTTTTACCTGTGTGAGTACGCTCGTATCAACACACACACACATATATATATATATATATATATATATATATATATATATATATATATATATATATATATATATATATATATATATATATATATATATGCGTGTGTGTGTACAGTCAACCAAAGATGCACTGACCCCACCCTGGGTCTCGTACTCGTCATTTTACCGGACAATACTTGATAAAGTTAGGCTGTAATATTGTATATAATGGTGATAGTGATTGGTAGATCTATTTTTGGCTGTATCACTGGCAAGATAAATATTAAACATATCAAAGATGCATTTTAATAATAATAAACTATTCATAATTATTTTAGATCAGGAGAAATTTCCAAATTTTCGTATATTTACATCAATAATGAAGAAAATTATATTAATGAATTGGCAACTCAACTACATGTACAACCACAGCTGCCACAAGATTCTCAGAAAAAAATGTTTTTCATTATTTAAGCAAATATACGAAAATTTGGAAACTTCTGATAATCTAAAATAATTATGAATAGTTTATTATTATTAAAATGCATCTTTGATTTGTTTAATATTTATCTTGCCAGTGATACAGCCAAAATAGATCTACCAATCACTATTATATACAGGTACCGTCTTACTGGGGATGAATAACAAAAATGAAGATTGGAAGAATAAACAGGATTGGAAGGGAAGATATAGGATTAGACAGGAAAATATAGGATTTGACGGGAAGATATAGGATTAGACAGGACGACGTAGGATTAGGCGGGAAGAAATAGGATTGGAAAAGTCTGGAATTAGAACGGCATATAAAGGATTGGAAGGAAATTTATAGAATTAGAAAGGAGGATACAGAGTTGGAAGGGGAGGTATGGGATTGGATAAAGACAATAATAGAACGGTAGAAAAACCTGTAGTTTGATGTTAAGATGTGAATCGCTTTTATCTTGGACAGGAAAAGGATATTGTTTTAGCCGCCTCCTCCTACCCACCACCCCTTGGCCTTCTCATAACAAACCCATTTACTCAACTCTCTCTCTCTCTCTCTCTCTCTCTCTCTCTCTCTCTCGGCATGTGCGTGTGTGTTTACAAGCGTGAGGGTTGACATCTAAACAATAAACTTCCCTGCCTCACTGCACGTCACCCCTTGCCTCCTCCCCGACCTCCTCCCCCTCCTTCCTTCCTTCCTTCTCCTGCCTCCTCTCCTCCCTTTACGGCCCAGGCACTCAGTCACCCCCCTTTACGGCACACTGCCACACCCCACCACTGGGCCACCCTTACTTGCAGCACGGTGGGGAGTCAGTATTTGAGGCACAAGACAGTGTGGCCAGCAGGGTTGGCGTGTCCAGTAATTGAGTCGACCATCGCAATTTGGGTTATGGTTTTGACCTCTCTGATTTAAGATGAGCCTTTGTCTGTTTATATGAGTCTGATGATATGAGTATGTGAGAGTCTGATGATATGAGTGATGATATGAGTGTGTGAGTGATGATATGAGTGTGAGTGATGATATGAGTATGTGAGTGATGATATGAGTGTGTGAGTGATGATATGAGTATGTGTGAGTAATGATACGAGTATGTGAGAGTCTGATGATATGAGTGTGTGAGTGATGATATGAGTATGTAAGTCTGATGATATGAGTGTGTGAGTGATGATATGAGTATGTAAGTCTGATGATATGAGTGTGTGAGTGATGATATGAGTATGTGAGTCTGATGATATGAGTGTGTGAGTGATAATATGAGTATGTGAGTCTGATGATATGAGTATGTGAGTGATGATATGAGTATGTGAGAGTGATGATATGAGTATGTGTGAGTAATGATATGAGTGTGTGAGTGATGATATGAGTATGTGAGAGTGATGATATGAGTATGTGTGAGTAATGATATGAGTATATGTGAGTCTGATGATATGAGTATGTGAGTCTGATGATATGAGTATGATGTGTGAGCATATGAGTATGTGAGTGATGATATGAGTAGTGAGTAATGATATGAGTATATGTGAGTCTGATGATATGAGTATGTGTGAGTAATGATGATAGTGAGTGATGTGAGTAGTGATGATATGAGTATGTAGTCTGGATGATGAGTATGTGTGAGTAATGATATGAGTATATGAGTCTGATGATATGAGTATGTGAGATGATATGTGTGTGAGTAATGATGTGAGTGAGTGATGATATGAGTATGTGTGAGTAATGATACGAGTATGTGAGAGTCTGATGATATGAGTGTGTGAGTGATGATATGAGTATGTAAGTCTGATGATATGAGTGTGTGAGTGATGATATGAGTATGTAAGTCTGATGATATGAGTGTGTGAGTGATGATATGAGTATGTGAGTCTGATGATATGAGTGTGTGAGTGATAATATGAGTATGTGAGTCTGATGATATGAGTATGTGAGTGATGATATGAGTATGTGAGAGTGATGATATGAGTATGTGTGAGTAATGATATGAGTGTGTGAGTGATGATATGAGTATGTGAGAGTGATGATATGAGTATGTGTGAGTAATGATATGAGTATATGTGAGTCTGATGATATGAGTATGTGAGTCTGATGATATGAGTAATGTGTGAGTAATTATATGAGTATGTGAGTGATGATATGAGTATGTGTGAGTAATGATATGAGTATATGTGAGTCTGATGATATGAGTATTTGAGTGATGTTATGAGTGTATGTTTGAGTAATAATAGTCTATGTGTGAGTCTGATGAGTCTATGTGTGAGTCTGTTGATATGTGAGCCTGTATGAGTACGTTTGATGATGTATGAGTGAGTGAGGTTGTGAATGTATGAGTAGTAAGTCTAATAATGTGTGAATCTTAATGTGTGAGTCTGTATGAGTGAGTTTATTGTGAGTGTATGAATGAGTTGATGTATGAGTGAGTCTTGATGTTTGAGTGTATTTGGTTCAATTAAGGGCCAAGGTTACAGGTAAGGACTAGATCACACAGGTAAGGGCTATGGTTACAGTAAGGGCGGCAACATATAGGGAAGGGCTGGGGATACAGGTAAGGGTTTGGAGTACAGTTAAGGTCAGC